ACTTTTGTACATAGTACGCTTTGTAAATGCTTTGCGGGTTTGTGTTTCCTAAGCACTGAGACGCTTGTCAGACCTTCTCATCTGGAGAAAGTAAAGAGAAGAGTAATACTTATTTATATTTGTATCCTTTCTCTCCTTTAGGACTTTAAACTTTAAAAGGAGAAGTGTTTTCTTATTCATCTTCTTTTGGCTTTTTGTTTTTGTTTTAGAGACAGGGTCTCTCTGTTGCCCAGGCTGGAGTGCAGTGGTGCGATCACTGCTCACAGCAACCTCCGCCTCTCCGGTTCAAGCTATCTTCCCTCCTCAGCCTCCCAAGGAGCTGGGACGACAGGTGCACGCCACCACACCAGCTAATTTTTGTATTTTTTGTAGAGATGGGTGTTCGTCATGTTGCCCAGGCTGGCCTTGAACGCCTAAGCTCAAGTGATCCACTCGCCTTGGACTCCCAAAGAGCCAGGACTACAGGCGTGAGCCACTGAACCCAGCCTCTTCATCTTTCTATCTGGCCTCTCCTCACTTTCTCCATTGGAATCCAGCATAGAATCAGGGCTCAACAAATGTTTTGAACAAAACCCATGGGGGCGAATCTCAGATGGAGGGTGGGGAGTGAGAAACGGGGATGGAACTAGCATAATCAATAGAGTCACTATTATCATATTACAAACTGCATCACTCAGCAAGGATCTGTGAGCTCCTCTTGGGGCTGGGAACTGTTGCAGCTACGGAGGCTGGTTAGTCACTGGACACAGCCGGTCACTCTCTCAGGCCGCCTCCATTCTACAGAAAGCAAACCTCCCCCACGTTGCTGATGGGGACGTGAGAAATCCCATGAATCCCAGGAAGAGTCAGAGAGATAAAAATACAAACGCCTGCCCCATTTTCCCACACTCCTCATGGCTCTTTCCACAGTTCCTTTTCCTGTGGTAATTGATGAGAGTGAGAAAAAATGGCAAGGAAAAAAAGTCCCAATATCTAAATAGTCACATGAAGTTTGCATCACACAGTCACCTGTTTTGTGTCATTAAACCTCACGACCTGTGGAACAGACAGCATTATTCAAACAGTTTAACAGCCAGGGGCAGTGGCTCACGCCTGTAATCCCAGCACTCTGGGGGGCCAAGGTGGGCAGATCATGAGGTCAGGAGATCGAGACCACCCTGGCCAACATGGTGAAACTTCATCTCTACTTAAAAAAAAAAAAAAAAGAAAGAAAGAAATTAGCTGGCTGTGGTGGCAGGTGCCTGTAATCCCAGCTACTCGGGAGGCTGAGGCACTGTAATTGCTTGAACCCAGGAGGCAGAGGTTGCAGTCAGCCAAGATCACGCCACTGCACTCCAGCCTGCTGACAAAGCGAGACTCCATCTCAAAAAAAAAAAAAAACAAAAGTTTGACTTGAGGTCAGCCATGCCTCATGGGAAATGGAGTTATTACTCAAACCAACCTCATTGAAGGCTCAGAGGTTAGGAGTTTTTGAAGGATAGTTTGGGAGGAGGGGTGGAGGTGGCGCTGGGTGCTTGCTGCCGATTGGTTGGGGGCGCAATCATAGGGGTGTGGGACGTGGTCCTCCCATGCCTGAGTCCTTTGTGAATGGGGCCACAGGAGGGGTTGGTGGGTCTAGGTGGAGGTATTGGTGTCAGACATGCAAAAAAAATTGAAAAGATATTTCAAAGGCCAATGTTAGGCTCTACAATGGTGATGTTATCTACAAGAGTAATTTGGGAGGTTGCAGATCTTATGACCTCCAGAATAATAGTTGGCAATCACTCATGACCACACCTCAGCAGAATTCAGCCTTCTCTACCCTGCTAGCCTGGTGGTCTCTCATTACCTTTACAAAAGCAGCTGAGTTTGGGGAAAAGGGTATTATCATTTAACTCCCAAAGTCAGCTTGGTCTAAGCTCCAAAATATGAATAATTAATGGCAACTTGAAAGCTAAAGGCAAGATGAGGGTTGTCCAGACCAGACCTCCCTCGCTGCCATGGCTCTGTCACTGACCTAATTTTTGCCGAGGCGGTTTCGCTGTGTTCTTGTAGAGGTGGAAAAGAAAGCCCCTCTCCCTCTCTTCCTCTGGGTCACATTTTATTACTTGGTAGTGAGCACTAAAAAGTGTGAGTCCTGGGTCTTGTGTGAAAAGCTTGCAGTTTTCAGGCCAGGTTGGTGGCTCATGCCTGTAATCCCAGCACTTTGGGAAGTGAAGGCGGGTGGATCACCTGAGGTCAGGAGTTCAAGACCAGCCTGACCAACATGATGAAACTCCATCTCTACTAAAATACAAAATTAGCCAGGCGTGGTGGTGCATGCCTGTAATCCTAGCTACTCAGGAGGCCGGGGCAGGAGAATCACTTGAACCCGGGAGGCAGAGGTTGCAGTGAACAGACAGTGTGCCATTGCACTCCAGCCTGGGCGACAAGAGTGAAACAAAGAAGGGAGGAAGGAGGGAGGGAGGGAGGGAGGGAGGGAGGGAAGGAAGGAGGGAGGGAGGGAGGGAAGGAAGGAGGGAGGGAGGGAGGGAAGGAAGGAAGGACTGCAGTTTCTGCCTGCAGTGCTTCTCTTCAGAGACACAAGTCCATGATGCTGGTGTCATGGTTCCTTTTCACTCTTGTTTTTGTTGCTTCTGTTCTTTCCCCCCATATCTCAAACAATGTCCTCCCTCCAACCAGAAAGCCCCATGCGTCTTCTCCCACCATCCTGCAGACTCAGACAAGACTGGGTCTCAGCTTGCTCTCAGGCTGACAGCACTGACTGCCTGGAGGAAGCCTCCGAAGGGCTCCGAGCAGAGAAATCATTAGGAAGATGCATCTTGGCAGCAGTTCCTCAAACGAATTAGGTGGGAGTGAAACGTCTGGATTCTCAGAGCAGATTCAGCGTGGGCTAATGGTTCACTGGTGCCACCTGGAGGCAGCCGGCCTCAATTACAGACGCAGTTTACACAGCTGACAAAACCCTTCTAAAACCAAATCGCAGACAGTCATCTAGTAACTTTTCAGTGCTACAGGAAGAGTGGCCAGTTTGTTTGGACTAAGCCAGAAAGGAACAAAACTTCAGGAAAGTGGCTCTGCGGGGCCTCCATGTCCTTCCTTGGGAGAGGCTGACTTCCAAGGAGCTTCTTGAATTAGTTATTTTTGTAATAAAACCTCCCAGGATGGGCTGGGGAGCCCCCACCCCACCAGCACCACTGAATCTGTTTTGCAACCGATTTCCAGACCAACACAGCTGCCAAAATACAGGCTTGTCATTTCTCAGGGGAACTGAGAGGACTGGTTCTTGCTCCAAGTGAAAGCCACCACACAGGAAAGAGAATGTGTCCCTAGCGCAGTGGCCCATGCCTGTAATTCCAGCACTTTGGGAGGCCAAAGCGGGAGGATCACTTGAGGCCAGCAGTTCGAGACCAGCCTGGCCAACGTGGTGAAACCCTGTCTCTACCAAAAATACAAAACTTAGCCTGGTGCAGTGGGTACCTGCAGTCCCAGCTATCAGGGAGGCTGAGGCAGAATTGCGTGAATACAGGAAGTGGAGGTTGCTGTGAGCTAGGATTGCACCACTGAAATCCAGCCTGGGCCACAGAGNAAAAAAAAAAAAAAAAAAAAAAAAAAAAAAAAAAAAAAAAAAAAAAAAAAAAAAAAAAAAAAAAAAAGAAGAGAGAGAGAGAGAGAGAATGTGCCCCCGAGACTGGAGACAGAATGTCACAGGTGACTGACAGTCAGAGCTTGCCCTGTTAGCCTGCCCAGGTGTTTCTAGTGTTATTCTTATTTTCCCTAAGGATTCTGTGATTTACAACACAAGCTAGGCATGAACAAGTAAAGAAAACTAGAAATTGAAATGAAGCAGTTTTTAGAATTAGGATTAGGCCCCAGAATCCCATATTCTTTCTGCCAGAATCCACTTAATTACATACTGAAGTATGGGGCATTCTTGTAATACTAAGTCATTTGTTTCTTCTTTCAAAAACCGGGTAAACTATGTTCCTTATCAATTTTCTCCAGGTCACTAAGTCATGGGAAGTTGATTTCACGGCTGCTTTTTCCCTCACCATTGGCTTTACCTCCTTCCTAATAGCTGATGTTTTCTTAAGAAAGTTTCTCAGTTTAGAAAACAAGGTCATTTCTCTGAGTCTTTGCCAAATCTCTGGACCTTTGCTTCTGGAGGAATGGGAATTTAAACGCAGCCCAAGATCGGTCATCCTGACTTGCATAAGAAAGGAAGAGCTTCTCTGCCCCCTCACTGGACACTGGCTGAACGCTGTGAGATTTATATTGTTATGCGTGTTTTCAGGGTGATGAAATCGATGCTCACAGAATAATCTGCTCAAGGACACACAGCTAGAAAGTAGAAAAACTAGGATTTAAAATCACAGGGTTGCGTGACTGCATATTCCCCTTGCTTCCTACAGCACTGGGCAGAGTTCCACTTTGTAAATGTCTAGGGAGGAGGAGTGCGGTGGCTCACGCCTGTCATCCCAACACTTTGGGGGGCCGAGGCGGGTGGCTCACCTGAGGTCAGGAGTTTGAGACCAGCCTGACCAACATGGTGAAACCCCAACTCTACTAAAAGTACAAAAATTAGCTGGGTGTGTAATCTCAGCTACTCAGGAGGCTGAGGCAAGAGAATCGCTTGAACCGGGGAGGTAGAGGTTGCAGTGAGCCAAGATCACGCCACTGCACTCCAGCCTGGGCAACAGAGTGAGATTCCGTCTAGGGAGAGGAAACCCAGAGGGTTAAATAAAGCAGGGGGCCCTGAGGATAAAAGGAAAAAGCACTGGGCCTGGGTCCACACGGAGCCACCAGGATGTGGCAAGGCTGAGGCAGGAGCTCCATGCTGGGAAAAGGAAAGTCTGGGCCTTGGAAGGGGTGTGGCTGCTTAAAAGTCAGATTTAAGGTGGAGAACGAAACTTGCCACAAGGCCAAATGGTTAGGAGGTGGCACGGGAAAGGAATCATGCCTTAAGGACTTTCTGAAAAGCCAGGCTCAAGAGTCTCAGCTCTGCCACTATGACCCTTGGCTTCCCGCACATCTGCCTCATTTTAAATTTTTTATTTCATTTCCATATGATTCACATTGTATTCTCCTTGTTTCTTCCCATTCCAATCCACTTTCTTTTTCTATTTGGTTTTACTTAATAATGGCTATTCTACTGGAACCAGGGTACAGGCCTTTCTTCTTCTGACTGAATATCATGGAATGTCTTTCACTTCATTCTTCCATTAAAGGCAAAGTATGTGCTATACAATCAACGTTCACATTCTGCAGTCGGCTTTCAAGAGAGTGACGCCAACTTTAATCTCTCTTTTCCAATTGCTTCTGAGCTTTCTCTTCCCCTCCATTCTGCTCTGAGAGGTGTCCGCGTGTCCAGGGCTGGGCTGCGCAGAGGTGATGGGAGGTGCCCCGTGGAGGCAGTGCTGCAGGGTTCCAGGGATCAAATAAGTAATTTGAACAAGTAAACGTAGAGAGGGCAATGGAGGCCAGATGAGAGCAGTGGCCAGAAGAGAAAGAGGAAGAATAGCAATAACCTTGAGGTATTGAATTGTAATTGGAAGCATATTATGAAATCGTAATTTAAAAATACATAAACATAACAACATAAATATATCTATACAGATAATTATGTGTATAGATATATACAAAAAACATAAAAATATGTCTGTACACATATATCTATATGTTTATAGATATATAGAGAGAGCTTTATAGAGAGGTGTGTGTGTACATATACATATACACACACACACGCACGCACACACACACACACACACACACATATGTACGAAGGAATTGTAGCTCCATCAGCCAAGCAAGCCTAGAAGCAGTATCACCCCAGCAGCAATGAGCACATGGAGCATCTAATCTTGGTTTCTAAATGTCATTCTGCATGGAAAAGAACCAGGAAATAGCTGATTCCTGGGCTGGGGCGGGAAGTAGGTAAGCCTGGAATACCTGTGCTGGAAAAGGAAGACTTTCTTCAAGAATGGCGTGGCCAGGGCTGGGTTACTGGAGGCAGTCAGACATGAGCAGGGCAGGGGAGGGCCAGCCCCGCCACGGCCCATGACCTGGAATGGCAGGCAACCACCGGGTGATGGTCAGGCAGTTGTCACACTGTCTCTCTAAGACAAGAATTAGGCACAGCCGGCTCCCCAGGGAAAGGCAGTCTCCCAAGGGAGAAACAAACCTGAAGCTGGTGATGAGCAGCTTCCCGCTAAGATCTCAGGAGTTGAGGGCGTGAGCTCAAGCATGCGCACTAAGGGCAGAACGGTGGCGTGTAACCGGCACGTGACCTTCCTCCGGGAACACTGGCCTGGTACGGGGAGAACGCCTCCAGTGAGCATGCGCACAACTTCAGGGCAGAACGCCTCCAGTGAGCATGCGCACAACTTCAGGGCCCACGTGCGCGCGGCCCTCCCAGGTGCGGGCAGGCCACCGAGTCCGGTTCAGCCCGCCCCAAGGGAGGAATCGGGGAGAAGGGAAGCAAGCCCCTCCGGACGCCCGCCAGTGTAAAGGAGCCGCGTCAGCGGCCACACCCGGCACCAGCATGTCTCCAGCTGCCTGCCTGGCCCTCTTCCAAGCATGCTTTATTTCCTTTTGTTCCTGCTCGAAAACTTTTTAATAAACGTACTCCCGCTCTAAAACTTGCCTTGAGCACTCACAGTCTCTCTCTCTCCCTCTCTCTCTGCCTTATGCCCCTCAGTTGGACTCTTTCGTCTAGGGAAACCAAGGAAGCAAAACTGAGATTGCTGCGGACCCAGCGGTGGCCGTTGGGTCTGACGCGCCGGGGCGCTGTGACTTGGATACGTTCCCTAGTGGTGAGCGCCTCGATGCCTTGCCTTCCTTGGCTGGAGGTGTTCAACCCCGACGTGCAGCTTTCTTCTCCCTCTTGCCCTCCTGCTTACTAACCAACCCCCAGAGCGATTCCTCTCCGCCGCAGTGGCTCTGCTCCAGGCCGATCTCTCCGCGCACCCCGACAGGTGCGTTGTGGGGCTGGGTGGGACTTTGGAGTCTACACCAAGTCGACCCGAGACGCTAATGGCCCTCCCGCACCGAAGGCTGGGGACAGTGGTGGGGCCAAAGGCTAAGACCGTGCCATGTCTGGGGTTTCCTCTGCTTTTTCAACTAAAATCAGCTCTTTCCCAAAACCCTGCACTGCCTCTGCCCCTGTTTTCTGTGTGTGTGTTCTGAAATGGTCTTGCGCACCCACCAGACCATCTCCTCGGGGGCCAGTCTGCCTTTCCCCTGGTTTCACTTTGCATGCTACATGACTTCCTTCTCTGCCTTAAATACACACATTTCCTCTTATCCTTGCACCCACGGCTCTTGCTGCATTCGCTCGGCAGCAAAAACACGGCCTCCCTTGTGGATGTCCCCTGAGATTTATACTTTTTCACCCCACCAGCTTGGATGACCTCCAGCTTTACCCGGCTGCTGGCACCTTGCGGGGACGGACACTGATGGGAACCCCAGCTCTGCCAGCTCCTCATGACTTTCTATACACTTCTTGTTCCTGTTATGCCCCAGGGCCTAGTTCTCTGGTGGCTTTGGAAGCAGTCTGTACACCTGCATAGGACCTCACTCTGTGGCCTTTTAAGGATCCCACCTACTTGTTTTTTTTTTTTTTTTTTTTTTTTTTTTTTTTTTTTTTTTTTTTTTTTTTTTTTTTTTTTTTTTTTTTTTTTTTTTTTTTTTTTTTTGAGGTAGCACTCCTTTAGCAGAAGAAAAAATTCTTCCTATGCCATTTGCGAGTTCTTACCGCCAAGCTCCGAGCCCTCCACAAACTTTCTCTATGTCAAAAGAGCAAATAAGTATTGCCCTCTCAAATCCAAAGGCTGCTGTTTTGCAAGCAAAGCCTTGCTTTCATTTTCTTTTTCTTTTTTTTTTTTTTTTGAGACAGATTCTTACTCTGTCATCCAGGCTGGAGTACAGTGACACGATCTCGGCTCACTGCAACCTCCGCCTCCTGGGTTCAAGCAATTCTCCTGCCTCAGCCTCCCGAACAGCTGGGATTACAGGCTCATGCCACCAGGCCCAGCTACTTTTTGTATGTTTAGTAGAGATGGGTTTCACCATATTGGTCAGGCTGGTCTCAAACGCCTGACCTCGTGCTCCACCCACCTTGGCCTCCCAAAGCTCCCTTTTGGGTTCAAGAGCTGCCTAGTCTATGCTAATCTCCTTCTCTAAGCAACTCTACTCCAAATCCTGTGAGGTAACAGGGCAAGTGTCACCTACTCCCTCTAAAAGAAAAGAGTCACACCTCTTTGGGGCAAAAATATACTTTCCAAACTGGGTATCTGCTTAATATGTACCCAACCTCTGAATTTATCTGCCTCTCTAATCGTCCTATTTCTCCCCAAAAAACTACCTAAATATTTAACCAATAACTTCAACCTGTACCATCCTACCACCCAAATAAGTGTGGCTTTAAAAATACCCTTCGCTGGCCGGGCGCGGTGGCTCAAGCCTGTAATCCCAGCACTTTGGGAGGCCGAGGCGGGTGGATCACGAGGTCAAGAGATCGAGACCATCCTGGTCAACATGGTGAAACCCCGTCTCTACTAAAACTACAAAAAATTAGCTGGGCATGGTGGCGCATGCCTGTAATCCCAGCTACTCAGGAGGCTGAGGCAGGAGAATTGCCTGAACCCAGGAGGCGGAGGTTGCGGTGAGCCGAGATCGCGCCATTGCACTCCAGCCTGGGTAACAAGAGCGAAACTCCGTCAAAAAAAAAAAAAAAAAAAAAAAAATACCCTTCGCTTATTTGGATAAGCAAAAATCTAACCGAGTAATCTCTTGAGTGGGGACAACATCTACAGTACGTAGACAACCTCCTCATTGCTTCCCTTTTACAGGAAGTACAAACCACAAAGCCCTAACAGAAGGAAAATGGCTTTTGTCTAATTCAAAGATTATAAAGGTAAAGAGGTATTTATGTTAAGGAAGATTATAAAGAAAAGAATTGTTATATGAGAAAGGGTCTTTATCTTATATGATGTTTGTCGCCCACGCTGGAGTATAGTGGCGAAATTTCGGCTCACTGCAATTTGCACCTCCCAGGTTTGAGTGATTCTCCTGCCTCAGCCTCCTGAGTAGCTGGAACTACAGGCGCGCACCACCACACCCAGCTCATTTTTCGTATTTTAGTAGAGACAGGGTTTCACCATGTTGCCCAGACTGGTCTCAAACTCCTGAGCTCAGGCAATCTGCCCACCTCGGCCTCCCAAAGTGCTAGGATTACAGGTGTGAGCCACTACACCTGGCCGAGAAAGGATCTTTTGTTGTAAATTTGTGCCCTAAAAAAAAATAACTGATTGTTTAAAAAGAGGGATGCTTAGGACAAGTGAGAAAGTCCAAGCTTTTCATAGATGGTCTGTTTAAGTCATGAAATGATTTGTGGAAGGGAATTTATAAAAGAAATATTATAAAATTTTGTTTTGTTTATTTTTTATTATTTTTAAAATTTTTAATTTTTGTGAGTACATAGTAGGCATATATATGTATGGTGTTCATGAGATATTTTGATACAAGCATACAATGGGTAATAATCACATCAGCATAAATGGGGTATCTATCACTTCAAGCGTGTATTCTTTCTTTGTGTCACAAGCAATCTAATTATAGTCATAGCTATTTTTAAATGTACAATAAATTATTGTTTATTATTGCTGTAGTCACCCCGTTGTGCTATCAAATACTAGATTTATTCATTCTATCTAACTACATTTTTCATACCCAGCATCCACCCGCACTTCCGCTCCTCCACTACCCTTCCCAGACTCGTAACCATCATTTTAACACGAATGTGAATTACAGTGTTCTAATGTGACTTTAGAAATGTTTCCCTTCTCAGTAATTTTGTGATGTGAACAAACATTACCAAAAACAAAAGCTTCTGTTTTTCTAGTAAAATATCGTATGGTAGAATTTCAAATATCATGTTGGATTCTTTTCCTGTTTATTTGGATGAAAATAAGGTTTGTTAAGTAAGTGTAATTATCTCATTTTTAGGCTGTTTGTATACTTTCTTTAGAAGTTCAGAACTATTTCTGATCTGATAAAGATAGTAATGTTATATGCCTTCACAGAGAACAAGCATAGATTTTAACCTGTTAAATTGAAATTCGTGCTATTAAATAAATGAATAAATTAGTAAATAAATGGATAAATAAGTAAATAAATGGAGGAAGGAGTGAAAGTTCTTTCTTACAGTAGAACGCCAAGTAATAAATGAAGAAGGAATGATGAAAATAGCAAACCACTATATGACACTATTATGTCTATGATTTATTCAGATAGGGATCATCTATAAATATTAAGGCTGATGGGTGGAAGTTGCTAAGGATCAGGATTTTAGCATAATTTTAGAAAATCTCCCCATAAAATGTTTATAAATTGCAAAGGCAAAAATGGTGACTCAGTGGAGGAGAAATATGGAAGACACCAATATGACCAGGCAATCAAGATGAACATCACCAGAGACGGGACAGGACCCATCATGTGCTGTCATGTGCAGAGCCCAGGATCCTGACCATCATCTTCCTGTCAAGAGTTCATGGCAATGTCTGACCAAAATGAAATATCAGATGAAACCAGGTGGCTCATGCCTGTAATCCCAGCACTTTGGGAGGCCGAGGTGGACGGATCACTTGAGCTCAGGAGTTTGAGACCAGCCTGAGCAACATGAAACCCTGTCTCTGCAAAAGATACAAAAATTAGCCTGGTGTGGTGGCACACACCTGTAGTTGCAGGTGCTTGGGAGGCTGAGGTAGAAGGATCACCTGAGCCTGAGGACGTCAAGGCTGAAGTGAGCCATGATTATACCACTGCACTCCAGTGTGGGTGACAGAGTAAGATCCTGTCTCAAAATAAAAATTAAAATTAAAAAAAAAACTGAAGGATGTGGAAGACAGGGAAAGACTAAGAAATTATTCCATATTGAAGGACATCTCCTTCCATCTGGACATGTGACAACTAAATGCAATGCATCCTCCTGGAGTGGATCCTGGACCTGAAGTGGAAGAGAGGCGTGGTGGGCTGAGCCAATAAAATTTAAATGGGGTCTGTGGATTGGGTCCCAGTGTTGTGCCCATGTTTATTTCTGCCTTGGAGGGTTTGTATTAGTTTTCTAGCACTGCCATAATAATTTACCACAAACCACATGGCTTTAAACAACAGAAATGTATTATCTTGAAGTTCTGGGGGCTAGAAGCCCAAAACCAAGGTGTCGGTAAGTTTGGTTCCTTCCAGAGACACTGATGGAGGAACTGTCTCCTGCCTCTCTCCTCACTTCTGATAGTTGCTGGCGATCCCTGGG